TCTCTCTCTCTCTCTCTCTCTCTCTCTCTCTCTCTCTCTCTCTCTCTCTCTCTCTCCGTGTGTGTGTGTGTGTGTGTGTGTGTGTGAGGTGGGAAGCGGTTCCCTTGGGTCTGGTGTAAGAAGAAACTTGGTCAAGTGGATTGAGTGATTTTCTTTGTGATTCGTACCCTGGATCTTCTACTTGAGGAGGATGTCGTCTCTCTCTTTCTCTGGTCGTTGCTCTTGCTTTTCTGTCGTGAAGAAGTTCCTCCAAGCCGACGCCAATTTCAGTGTACAAGGCTTTGGTATGACCATGGGGAATATGACGCCCTGGCCGTTTTGAGTGCCTCTTCGCTATCACTGGGGCGTTGTTAGTCTTCACTTCTTCAACCCCCTAAAAAAATTTTAACTGGTTAAAGCCAGCGCAAAAAGTGCACGTATGCTTTTCAACTGGTTAAAGCTAGCGCCAAAAGTGCACCTACGCTTAGGTATGGTTCTTGGAGAACGTATTCGACGGCATGAGTCCCCCTTCCTTAGTAGTTGTGCTGCAGCCTCTGCATCACCTATGTATAACTTCTACTTATTCTGTTGTTTTCTATTCAGGGCTTGAGGCACATGTCATTGAGAATCCAAATGGAGAATAGTTCTTCGTAGCGGAACACCCCTTTGGGGGTAAATTCGTAAAAGTGGACGGGTAAATTCATAAAAGTGGACAGGTAAATTCATAAAAGTGGACGGGTAAATTCGTAAAAGTGGACTGATATATGGGGGGCTGCTGCGTTTCCGAAGAATAAGATACGAGATACGCTTTTTTTTTTTTTTTTTTTTTTTTTTTGCGTGTGTGTGTGTGTGTGTGTGTTTGTTCCTGGGAACGTTTAGATATGTGGCGTCTGACGCAGGGTCTGGAAAGGAATGCGCTAACTGTGGATTGTTCTTCATGAAACGTTTTGAGAGTTTCAAACGTGTCTTCTTTTTTGTTTAGTGTCCCATGTGTAGGATGCAGCCTCTGGAGGGAGGTGCAGTCCTTTTTCTTGATTCTATTAGTTGCTGCTTTGCTCCAATGCGCCCCTCTGTATGGGGGAAGGGCTTTGGAATGGACTTCAATGAAGGCTGTGGCTCTGAGAATTTTGGTCTTGTGAACAATGCAGTAGGCCATGTGCCTCTGTGTTGTCATCTTTGCTATACTATACAGAGCTCCACAGAAAAGGGGCGATGACTCTGCCAGACTATGTTTCGTTGGAATTTCATCGACTTATCAGGAGTGTGTGTGTGTGTGTGTGTGTGTGTGTGTGATCATATTCGCTATCAGGAGGGCACATGTGTGTCTGTGTGTGTGTATGTCGTCATAATCGCTTTCTTTGGGCTTGTTGTTTTGTTTTTTGTCTGTGTTGTTCTGTTTGTTTTTTCTGTGGTGAGTTGTGTCATTTAGTTGCACAGTTTTTTTTTGAAGTCTTGGCCTACCACTTTCTGTCAGTGTGGTTGTGATTTTGCAGTGCACACTGTTGTCGAGTCCAGCGATTTTTACTCTCTCTCTCTCTCTCTCTCTCTCTCTCTCTCTCTCTCTCTCTCTCTCTCTCTCTCTCTCTCTCTCTCT